AAAACACCTTTTATGTGGTTAAAATCAGTTGAGCTATTGATTGTATAAGTAAACTTGTTGCCACTTTTCATTGATAATTAATTTTGTAACTTCATCTCTAGTATTGCTTCATTTCACAATTAGGTACAAGTCCAATAAAATGGACAAAGCTGAGGAGAGAAGAGAGAGCCTTGTAGATAAAGATGCCAAAGTCGACAGCGATGAAAGCAGTCATGTGACTGATATCATCAGCAAGGAGGTCAGAAAGCAGGCCGAGGTGGAGGGCGAGATGGAAACCTACGAAGTAAGTGGAAAATGAAACTCAAGAGATGAAAAAATTAAAAATTGAAAAATGTTTTGACCTGTTGAAATGCCAGTTTTGATGTGTTTAGTTAATACAGATTTTTGTGTGTGTGGTTTACTATTGATAAATGACAGAAAATAGAACATGTAATATTTTCTTTACTTTTTTGTATGACATTTCAGTTTTCTAGAAAAAAGAGATAATAGTTTAAACACTTAACTTGCGTTTTGATATTAACAATAGATTATTTATGTATCTTTTTTGATTTCAGAAAAAAATGTTATGTTCAAATGTCAGTTTTGATTTGCTAACTTGAAATAGATTTTTGTATAAATGTGTGGTTTTCTCATAAATGATAGAAAATATTTTTTTCACTTTTTTGTATGAATTTTGAATTTGGTTCACCCCTCAAATAAGAACAGAATAGAGCTGGACTAGTGTCACAATATTTACTTTGCTATTGCTGTGAGTAGTACAAATTTAGCTTAAGATTAAAATTGAATCTATTTCATATTCAGGGCACCATGGATGACTACCTGGAGATGTTTATTCAGTTTGGCTACGTGGTGCTGTTCTCCTCCGCCTATCCCCTCGCAGCAGTCTGGGCCTTCATCAACAATGTCACCGAGATAAGAACAGACTCGTTCAAACTCTGCAAAGTGTTTCAGCGTCCTTTCTCTCAACCCACCGCCAGTATTGGTGCATGGCAGGTACGTGACAGTTCAGGGGAGATGGACAGTTTTTTCTTTAATATTATTATTATTATTTTTCTTTATCTTGATTCTGATCTTCAGTTTTTTCTTTTTTTTTTTGAAATATTTTTGAATAACCCTAATTTAAGCATTTCACTTTGTAACAGTTTTCTAATAATATGAATGAATATGTTGTTTTTTTAAACTTCTTAAATTCAGTTTGTGGATTTTTTGTCCAATATCTTACCCTTTTTTTACCCTTTGTTTTTTGATAGCCAAAATGAATTTAAGTAGAATCTGTATCAATATCAGTATCAGATTTCAAGATTATTCCTGTGTTTCACTTATTCTGTAAACCCCCTGCCTGCCATGTGTTATACAGATTGCCTTCCAACTGATGGGGATAATAGCTGTGATGACCAACTGTGCCCTGGTGGCCCTGTCCCTGCATAACCAAGGTCTGCTGCCAAAGTGGGACACTGCCGACTTGGTGTTATTGTTCGTAGGAGGCGAGGTATGTGGAAAGTAGATTTTGTTATATTTCTTTGAAATGTCTGTTCAGCCAAATTTGCTTTACACTGCTATCATGTCTCAATTGTTGTTGTTGTTGTTACTGTAGTCCATGGTGATGACTTAGAATTACAATTGGTGTAGAAGCCATGAGCATACACACGCGCACAAAGGCGCAGAGTATACAAGATATATTAGATAAATTTCTCATTGTTTGTTCACTTTATCATCTGATTCTTTCCAGCACTTAGTGTTGGCCCTGACACAAGTATTAGGCGCCATGGTCCCAGATCTGCCAAGGACCGTCAGGACGGAGATGGCCCGGATCGAGTTCCAGGCTAGACAGGCATGGAGGAATGAGGTAGGTTCCCTATGTTCAGTACAGAGAGGCATGGAAGAATGATGTATGTTCCCTCATGAAACTTTCATTTGTGTGTTTATTTTAATGTGTTAAAACAGCTTTTGTTAAAACAGATTCTAAATACATTGAATCAACAAGAGGAGTGGATGGAGATGTATGGAAAATCTGGAGTCAAATTTTGATTCAGCTTTTGTTTAAAATGTGTACTTTTATAAAGAGATTCAGAAGTAAAATTGAATTACAAACAGAAGTTCTAGAGTTACCTTGTTTATTTATAGAGGAGCCAAGCTGCCAGAACCCACCGAGTGAAGTTAAGGCGAGCAGTTTCTTTATTAAATGCAACGCCAATTTCAATGCCACCCCTTGCAGACAGTAAAGTAGATGGCACTACTATGCAACACAGGACCACCAATGTTTGAGGAAGAAAACAATTTTTTTTGGTTTTATTTGATGTTCTTTTTTTTTTTTTTGGAGAAACTTTATTTACAAGTTTCATGTCAGTTTTTTGTTGTGTTTTCACTGCCAAATATGATGAAATGTTAAAATAAGTAGTTTAATTCAAAGATATTGTCAAAATAAGTAATATTGAAATGTGGGATTCATCTTAGATACAGATATTTATGGGCTAACTCAAGGCAGCTTCCTAGTGATATTTAAACATTCAAGTAATAATGCATTATATTTTTTGCTAACGTTTTAATCTCAGTTGCTGTAAGTCTGTGGTGCCTATAATTTACAAACATGATTTTATTTTCTAAATAATTGGACAAATTGTCTTCTGTTAAGTATAGCTGGTCACAATTTATTGTATAATTTTTCTTTATATCTTTATATAGGAAATTATATTATTGGTTTATATATGCTTATGGCAAAGTGTCAACTGTAACAAAGTAGCAGAACTGTGATGGTCAAGTAATTCTCGTCAAATTACTCTTGCAGACAATAATTGTTCAACAAACCAGACATGTTATTTCCTTTCACATTTTGTCAGCATTCTTGTATAATTAATGACTTTAAAATGGAAATCATTCCAGCTGCCTTGTTGAAGTGAAATTTCCTGGTGTTGGCTTTGAAGTTCAAGATGGCAGTCTGCAAAAGTGCACAGAATTGAAGAAAATTTGTGATTGATTTATTCCACCGTGTGCTTTTCTTGCGTTCCGATTCACGTCTTGTCAGTTTATGTAGTTAAGCAGCAAGTATAATTAGTCTTCCAGTTTGAGCATTTCTTGTCACCTTTATGAGTTGGATATGAATAAACTGCATTAGCTGCAAACTTCATCACCCCCCTTTACTTTAGATGTCAGTATCAGATGTTCATCCGTGTTTAATTGATTCAATTTTAATCAAGTTTATTATATATCTTATCACCACTTAAATTTTGATGGGTTTTTCTTAAAATGAATCCACCAGACATGAAAATCAATATTGGACGCAGTTTGTTTTGTGTTATATTGAGCATTTTCTAATGCTGCTCAGTTCAGTTCAACTTGCGTAAACAAAGAGACAAAGAATAAAACATAAACAAGATATCTTATATATAAAAGAAACAGTTTAATGGGTCACACAAGTCCATGCCATGTCAGTATTAATGTACAGAAATGACCTGCAGCAGACTCTGACAACTGTCAACTACGTGGAGAAAGTTCATAAATTAAACTTTTGCTTTAATATAAAACAAAACACACACACACGAGGCATGCAAGTGTGGAATCTTCAGCTTCCAACACCACTGGTCATTGCAGACCACGTCTAGGCCGGCTAGACTGGACACAATAACTTATAGTCTGGACACAGCAACGGTAATAATATGAATAATGGTCAGATGGTATTATGTACACAAATTCATTTCACATTTCATAATGCCACTGCTGTGTTTTAAAATGTTTTTATGTTTGACAGTTTGCTTCACATTCACAGATCACAGTATTACTAATATCTACATACATGACTGTTTTATGTCCTGCAACTTTATCTTAAAATATATAGAACTGTATATATGTGTCGGTGTTAATGACTCCCAACTCATAATGGGACACATACATTTTTGTTTATGTATATAAAAACCTTATGCTACTTACAAATAAAAAGAAATATATGAACCTAATGCAATTAACAGAGAACAGATCAATTCAATTCCATGACGTGTGCCCGATGCCTGATGAAACTTCAAAAACCATGAAATATTCTGACAGCATCAGACACACTGTTTAAAATACTAATTTCCTAGATGTCGCCAAAACACGTTTAACGACATCTGAACATTTGTGAACTGCTGAAGATGACTAAGAGTAAGATGTTCAAAAGACTGAACTATGAACAAAGTCTGTTCTTTGACAAAGGCGGAAATTATATTTCTTAAGCTGGCATGTTCAGCAGTAAAATGATATGAAACATCCTTTTTTTTTCCACAATAAGTTAGCATCTAAGAAGGCTGGAACTTTTGTACTCATCATTAAATTGGCATGTCAAGTATATAAAAAAAAAACTCATCTTGGGATGCAACTGATAAACATTGCTTGAAGTTTCAAGGACATTTAGAAACTTCAAAAGAGAAGATGAGAAACTTACACAAGGTACCTAATAACTTAGTTCAGGAAAACTTGCAAAGACAAAATTCTGCATGTCTTGCCAAACCACGGCGTCCAAAAATCTGTAAGCAAAGCATTACACAAGTCAAACTGATCTGTTTTCCAGATTTTTCTGATAAATCCCATCCTTCTTTCCAGCAACTGTAAGGTAAAAAAAAGGCATTGGAGGATCTAATACTAAATGCCAACTTATGAACTAAATTTGTACTCTAATTTTTTCACACTAATCCTTAACTCTTGCCAATAAAACTATGCTGCGAATGAAAATTTCTACATATGAAACATGAACTTTGGTCAGGACTTTCCAGAGCAAATATGTTGAAGTCTCCATCCATGCTTCAGGCTACATAATTTATCAGTAACAATAGCACGAAGTGAGATGCCCCCCTTTCCCTCATTTTTTAAAACAAAACACAACATTTAGTCACAGGCTTTTTCACGGAGATGCCACCTTTACTCTCAGTTGTCCCTGCATTCAGAACCATTTTGTCTCTTAGCCCATTACTGTTTATATCCACTTTCACTTTTTCTTTTGAGCGTCTTTTCACCTGACTGTTGTTCCTGAGGGAGCAGTCATTTGAGCAGATGGACCCATTGTCTTCCTTTAAGCTCCCCTCCCTGCTCAGACGCTCGTAAATGTCACTGAATTCCCGAGAAATCACATGAATAATCCTAGCGTTAATCTTGTGCCCCTTGTCGTCCTCGTCACGACTAGTCCTTGGGGTACCCGCGTTGGAATCGACCACATACTTACTGCTCCTGCTGGTTAAGCTACTACTGAGGCTGAGGTTAGAGATGTTGGACGCCAGACTAAGGTTGCTGGACTTTCGTATGTGATGGGCACCATTAGCTGCTGCTTTAACAGGTAAAGACTGGCCAGAATCGGCCCCAGATTGTTCAAGTATGTTGTCCAAGTTGTGATTGTTTTTTGTTCCACCTGCAGCCTGTTGCTGCTTCCCAGCGTCACTTACTGAGGGCTTTCCCTGAGCAGCTTGTTTGGGCTGTTCGGGGATGTCTGTCAGAGTGGCAGGCCCATGCTCAGCTCGTTTGCTTCCACTTTTAGAGTTTTTGGAGCCCTTTGAACTACTCGAACTACCACCACCTTTGTCCTTGCCTCCTTTCCTGTCGGAATCTCTACGGTCCCTTCTGGGGTTGCCCCCTCCTTTTCCCCCTGGTCCAGATGCACTTCCATGGCCCCCAGGGCCTCCCCCAAACCCCCCAGGGCCGTCTGTATCACTGGAGGTATCACTGCTGTCCTTCCGGGGAAACCTGTGCTTCAGCTTCTCCTTTCTCTTTTTCGAATCTGGGTCATCTGTGTCACTGGCGTCAGAGCTACTGCAGCTTGTTCCCCTCTGGCCACTGCCTCGCCTCTTTTTCATTCGGCCCAGTTTGCGCAGCAGCTCTGGTGAGGCCAGCGGGTGGTGGTGTTGTGTGTTGTACACCCTCGGCCGAGAACTATCTGACGGCTGAATTAGATCGTCATCTCCGTCAGACTCTCCCTCCTCAAATATCTGGTTGAGAAGCTGCGGGGAACTGCTAACAGACCTCAGTGTGGGCCTGCTGGTGACGGGGCGACGCAGAGCTAGAGCCTTGCGACTGAGACTGGTTTCGCTTCCACTCCGGGAATCAGAATCACTGGACACCTCATCCAGAGACTTTGTCATTTTCACTTCATAATTCTTATCAAAGTCCACGTCCATGGGTTCCGCCCCACCCATTGCCAGTTTCTCCGACATTTCCGTCTCTGATTCTTCTTCTCCAGACTCCTCCCGAATCAGGCTAAACTTCCTCCTCTCGCCCGGACCAGCAGTGGAGGTGAAGGTCAAAGGTGAGGGGGCGTGGGCCGTGATGGGGGACACCAAGGAGTCGACCAGCTGTGCAGACTTAAACATATCAGCCTGGGTCACATGGGACTCCTGGATCCTGCAATACAGAGAGATACTATTACATACAGAACTGAGCCATTTTCAATAGATTATCGCCGTGAAGAAGACTACTTATAAGAAAGGCTTGAATATTACATGTCATTATAGCAAATATCAATATTTGGCGATACACTTTGGAAAAAAATAAATGAGAACTATTATTTATATTAATATATAATTATTATTTATATAATTATTAATATCATCCATGTAATACATAAGGTTTTATGGTGAAGTTCTTTTGTGTAAATATACAGACGTCTTATTCTAAATTAGAGAAATGCTTATTAAAAATCACATCTAATACATCTTATCACAGTATTCCCTCGTGTAACTCCTGGCAAGGAAGCATGGTCAATGTGGAAGATGTAACAGAACAATGACAACCACCCTAGAGCTGAGCTGGCAATCAATAACAGATCTCATAAGCTGCAGTGGCATGCAATGGAGATTATGATCACAACGTGTGTGTGTGTGTGTGTTATCAGCATTACAAACCGATTGCTATGATCACTCTGCTCCAATACCCATCACATAAAATTGAAATTATTAAAGCTTATGCAAAAAAAGTAGTAGTAGTAGTAATAATAATAATAATAATAATAATAATAATAGTAATAAAATAAAAATAAAGATAATTTATTGTTCTGATAAAGTTAATTTCAAAAACATTTCTTAAATTATTAATCAGTTTTGTTGAAAGAAGACTTATTTGCCTTAACAAAAAATACAAAAATAACACCCTTCAAGCTATGAACATTTAGGGTTGCATAATTCATAGCAGTTGCATGTTTTGCATTTTGACGCATTTCCCGTGATTGCTCTGCGTGTATGACAAAGTGTAAGTGTAACATGAGAATACTCTAAAATAGACAATAAATAGGTGTCAGACAAATGATCCTGCAATAAGAAGCATCAGTGTGTACTTGACTGATACTCGTCAGGCAAAGACAGCAATACAAAACACTCAAAGAGCCACATATCCGCCTATAATGCAAAAAAAAAAAAAAAATAACAATAAGTTATAAAACATCCAATAATCTCCGTGCTAACACAAATCCTGTGCATTGATGGCGACAGTGCAACAACAATGTAACAAACATTCCCACATTATATATATATCCATCCATTATGAAACAATCATGCCCCAATACTGCTATGCCTACCCTTGTCTCGTTTGTAATAGTGGATCAAACTTAAAGTCACATTCATGGGAGATGTTACCAGACATGATTTTAGGTTATAAAAGAAAGGAGGAGAAATGGCTTAGTGGCCTCAAGACCAGATGGTAGTGGCAGTGGGATGGGGGGAGAGAGGATGCTAAAAGCAGAAAACTGCAAAGAAAAAATTGGATTGGTGGGTGGGGCGGGTTTGGGGGTGGGGGTGGGGGGTGGGTGGGTGGAGGGTCATGTCTGTGCTACATATCCACCCCTGTCATGCAGTGAATAAAGACCTGTGCATTACCACATGAGTTGTTTGTCCATAAAATCAGGAAAACACTGAAACTAATAGCTCCTACGTACTCAGATGCCCTTCTATTACTAACGAGGTTTAAATATATAAACATCAACATCTCTGTGCCACTCCATGGTTATCAACCAAACACTTGACATTTTCAGCGATATGAAAACAGGGGAAATTTGGCAGCTATGCTTGAAATGATCATTATTTAGATAGCGTGATGAAATTGAAACACAAATGATAAAATAAAACTCGAATGTAATTTTGGTACAAAAATTACACATACACACTTGCATGCAAAAAGCTAATCCACGCAACAAATAAATTTATACAGCTTCCCCCCCCACCCCACCCACCTTTTTTTTCCTAATCAAAATCTGTATGTGAAAATACATTGAATGAGATGTCTATGTTGGGTGGGTCATATTGGCCATTATATGTCACAAATAGACACTTATGTAACGACGCATACAAAATAAGAATTTGAAGTAAAAAAAATCCTTTAGTCGGTGACTTTAAAGAATCTGCCTCTCTGGTTATATGAACCAATAAATCAGCCAAGAAGCAATTTAGATTCCTCGTGCACAATTAAGACTACCATGCAAAGGATATAATGGGAAATCCTTGTATGCAAAATCTTCACACGCTATTATGAAGTTTGGACGTCATATGCGCGTCACTAGAAGGGTTTCTATAAAGATCTGCGCTATGCAGAGAGCAAAGCTACCACCTTCTAATATGACAACAATACAAATCATTATTTAGCGTCATTTATGGATTGCTGCAAGTTTTGTTGAAAACCGATGATGCTGCTGAATCATCAATACCAGCTGCAGCTGTCAAGGTAGTGCAGTGGGAGATAAATACAAAGAAAAAAAGGAGAAAATGACAAAAAAAGAGAGAAAAGAAAAAGAAAAACGGTGCAGAAAATCAGTTTTTTATTCAAAACATGCTGGCAATGGACTGAATTAACACACAGTTAACTGTCCATTTAAAAAATGTGGTTTATTTCATTTGATCATAAAATTTTGATTGAAAAAATGTGTTGCCCAACAAATTTTATCTGGATCTGGTTAAGTGGCACCACTAATTTCTGAAACAAGTTTTGACAATACCTCTGAAATTGCCAACCAATAACTTCAGAAGGTAATGCAGTAAGCTGAAACTATCTTTACTGTATTGCATACACGTTTCAGCCCAAAACTTTTTAAAAGGTATTTCTCTTTTTTCTCCTTAAGATAAGGTGGAGGCACTGTGTGGAAAAACAGTTCAAGAAACAAGCAGGGGGCACAGTTTTTACCCGTTGCACCCTTCTGGCGAATCAGCCTCAAGACCTCGAAGCGGAATCCGTCCCCTGGACATCTTGGTTTTTATTCTATGATGGCAGCAGCGGGGATAAAAAAATGGGATCAAAATTAGCTTTACTAATCCTTGCACATATAGCAGTCTATTCAGAAGCTTTCCCCCCCTTTTTTTTCTTCCACTTGCCATCACATGAGTTACTGTGGTTATATAATTCATTTTGTCCTTGTCACAGTGAAACCCCATCTTGACTTAACGTGAGGACAACATGATGTCAATTTTGCATTAACTTAATATTAATGAAGCCTGTAACCAATGCCAATATTTCTATATTTCTGTCACCATTGCTCTCACATAGATAACATACAAATGTCTTCCTCTCAAGTCATCAAAAATAAAAAATACAGTAACAATAATTGCAAGCAGGTTTTCTGGATCAAAAAGGGGATTGCCACAGCAACTCTTGTGATGATTAAAAAATATGTCTGCTGAAATGCCATCCTTTCAACATGTGAATGGCTCAATAGCTTTTGAACTGTTCACATGCCATGTCATGGCACCCACCCTCATTTCCTCGATGTTAGTCGACTCTCTCGGCTGAAAATTAATAATGGAGATAATATTTTCTCAGAAAGCAGGATAATATGGCACAATATGCGTATGTTTATTACATTACTTATGATCTTCTTTGCGCCTTTCTATGCTTCTTTGAGATTATTTACATAAACAGCAAAAAGAAACATTAGTCAAGTCACTTCTGTCTTCATGACTAGATGAGAGAAACAGACGTAAACTTTGGCAGCACCAGAAAATGGTAGATTATTTTTTAATAATAGTATTAAAAACAATTAAATAAAGAAAAAATCAACACATCTCATTTAAACAATGACACTGAAATGAGAAGGGTGAGGAATGCCATGCAGGTCAAGCACTTTTTTTTCACTTTTAACACTATTCTGAAAATGAATTTATCTGAATAATCTGTCTAAAAACAGGAAAAAAAAGTCAATATCATGTGGCGATGAGATCTACACTGAGACTCCTGACACTAAATTGATATCGACTCCACTTCTACGACTGGGAATATTACTGACATCACAGCGGACAGGCGTGACGCAAGAAGACAAGATCCGCGGGGACAGAAAACTTAATGAGGGTTTAACTAGCCGGGAATTGCTGCTCTTTATAATTAGTGTCTATTTCAACAAGTGATTCACAGCAATCCAATTCTGTTTACCAGGCATGATTGCTTTCAGATACTGCAGCAAAATCTCAAATTCTGAAATTCCCACTGCATACGTAAAAATGTCATCATCCCATTTCACAAAATTATATCAAGCACTTCTTTAAGGCTGCAGGCTTATAAGACTTGAAACAATTTGTTTTAGGCAATAATTCCCTATCTACTTTAAGAGAGTATACTAATCATGTCTGCCGATCTGCCTTAATGTGGTGATCGATAGCTGGGATCAATAAAATAAGACTAACAACAATCTGGGCTGATCCACTGCTGGATTCATATTCTGCCAGCACCAGCAAGGGCAATGTCTTACCCACAGGTAATGTGCCTTCAGGGCCTGTTTCCAATGAAACTATTGATCTACGTTGAGCGATCCCACTCTGTGAGGACTTTTGCTGAATGCAATCAGATAAACAGACTAACACCCATCCTCTTGTTTCCAACGTACTCGTTTAATCGTGCTTTTGTGTATTCTACTCAATGGCAGGAGGAAGCCTGTTAATCTGACTGCATTCAGCGAGAGTCCTCACAGAGTGGGATCACTCAATGTAGAACCATAGTTTCATTGGGAACGGGCCCTAAGCTGTAGTAGTAAGTACCAACCATTTTCACACAACATAAGTCACTGAAGCAAAAGACAAATGCTTTTCAATTACGTATCAATTCCTGCAGAGGAAATAGCACTGTCAATCTGAAAGTTGAATGTAAATCCAGGTGGAGAACTTCAACCACTTGGAGTTCTGTGTTATCTTAACCGAAAATGTGGTTTGAAGGATTTTGATAAATTTCCATTGACACAGCTAAAACCTTACAAACAAAATTACACCATTTCAATGCTTTTTAACATCTTAAAGACTTCATTTTTTTCCCCAATCATTGAGCCAAAAGGCATAGCAAAAGCTGAAATGATCTGGTATTATCAGTGAAATAGCAACACATGTACACACACAGTGAAACCCAAACTCTGTCAAGTTTTTTTTACATCCAATGATGACAAAAGATCTTATTACATCCATACAAACTACGTTGAGCTTTACAATTCTATAAAGACTACATCATCATTCAAATCTTCTTTTCATTCAATTGTTAAGCAAAACAAACAACCAAAATGGATAGAAAGCTTGGGAAGACTACCTACACTGCTTATCTGCAGGCAAATAAGAAAAGAGAGAAAGTAAAAAAAGTGCTTCATTACTTAATGGCATTTCTAAGAAATTAAAACTACAGGTATCCAGTTTTATCCCTTGGCAATCTACAGAAATGCCCAAAAACACCAACCCAATTGTTTTACCCCCATTAAAAATATTACAATATAATATCATAAATGCATGAAGGAATATGGCTTCAAATGCTACATAAAATGTAATTAGTTATAATTCATATCAATAGAAATCAATAGAGTTTATCAGCAAAAAGGTCATATAGGCAAGAGTTGTGGCTTAACAGAATTGATTTTTGTATTTCCCTGAAGTTCTTATGTAGAAGCAGCTGAGGTTGTAAACTGATGCCTGCTGCTGTACAGAAAATAAACAATCAGATTGGAAAGAGAGAGAGAGAGAGAGAGAGAGAGACAGAAAAAAAGGAAGAGACTGTAAACTTTAAGACAATACTTAGAAGCAGACAAAATCCAAAGGATAACAGATTTACCCCTTCCTAATAATGAGCTAAAACAGACAGTGTATCTGAAATAAATTTACCTGAAGTACTGGTGAGGTTAAAATGGCAGTCATTATGTCAGACCTACAGCATGTAATGTATTGAATGTTACAAGTAACACAGACAAAGTTGTATCTAAAAGCACCAAAAATAGATCCCAAGGTATGTGACGGTATGCCAACTATGTACATCCTGAGCTCCTTACATTTTTTTCTCTATGGAGATCAAAATGCCAGCAGAGAAAGGGTTATCTTCTATGACGTGAAACCATACAAAGGTATGTTGTCAAGGTTTTCCAGCCATTTCATTGGGATGGTTTCCTTTATAGGAAAGCAGCTGTTTAGTAGTGAATGAAACTTTCTAGGATCACAGGGACCTTACAGGTTTTAGCCAAAACATGCAGTTAAATTCAACTGCACTGACAGTTAATTTTTCAGATTAAATTTTATTCCAAAAAATTGCATTGACAATATTTGCCCTAAAGTGGCCAATGCTTAATTATTTGCAAATTACTTAAGTCATTTAGCATACTCTTTTTTTTTTAAATAAATTTTCATGCTCAATTCATCTTGTGGGTTTTAGTCTCATTTCTCACTTGTCAATAATGAAACTGGTTTGTAATAATAATAGCCCAAAAGAAATTGAAAACTTCGAAATATCGCTGAAGTTCTCTCTAATTTGTTTCAAAACAGTTCTCTTCCATTATAGAGAGTAGTGTGTCTTCCCAATCAAGTGTACCTTTGATGAAATGAGTTGCTGTTGGTATACTTCAGAGGTTTTTTTCCCCCTCAAAAATCCTCCCAAGACACAAAGAGGCAGAATATGAGAGGAGAAGCAGCACAAATTTCCTCCATTTGACATTTAACTTGAGAACACTCCGTCAACACCACATAACAGCAGGGCCCAGTGTAAAATGGTTGCTTTTTTTCTGGTAATAATTGCTATCTCTCCCAAAATACGAAAAAAAAAAATCTTGCAAATACCATGAATAATTTTCCTTTTAACTTGATGCCAGTGCACTTAAGTCAGCACATCATCACGAAGGCAGAAACTTGATCTATTAAAAGTGCACCATCGAGGAAATAAAATGCAGTTGGTCCAGTCTGTATGAATAACTATCCTAAGCAGTGCCCTTCTCACCTCCATGGAAATAATCAATAATGGAGGAAAATGTGGATGAGTACAGCCGTACCTCATATATCACCAGGTCTCTAAAATACTATGATTTTTTAAATCTAATTTGATCTTTAACTAAACATGCAAAAATGGAAAAAAGTCATGTATGAAATGTACAGGATGAATACCTGAAAAGCAAAAAGATAAAACAATCAAAACATAATTTAGGTGATATTAATAAAAACAGGCACCCCTGCAGCCAGGAGCCACCACATCAATACCAATTATTGTTGGAAAACCCACCTTGGAGAGAGTGCAAGAGGCTCCAGATTAAGCTGGCCTGGCCCTGCGGACGCTACCCTACGGAGAACGTGCTGCGGCGCCTGGGGAGGCCCGTTGTCAGATATAGCAGTGGCCATCATTGTGAGCTGGCGTTTTAGTCGGCGCTCAGCTAGGAGGTAATATGTGGCTGTTATGTGATCGTACTGGTCCTTCTCCAGAGAACTGAAATGAAAAATAATAATACTTTATGTGATAATTAAATATAGTCAAAAGTAAAGCAATGCATGTGTGTGTGTGTGTGTGCGCATGCATGTCAATAAAAAATACATCTTTACATGTATATGAGTGATTTACTGTGGCAGAAGTTTGAATGTCTTAAAACCTGGAAAAGTCACACTCCTAAGAGTTCAGCCATTTATATAATCATTTTGTTAAATCTATAATATGTGGGGGAAAAGGAAGTTAATGCTGTCTGTACGCTATTGGAAAATAATAAAAATGGCGATCCAAATTGCTGGCAAAGGTTATCATTTTTAGCTTTTAATCTTGTTCCCTGAGGGGGGGGGTCTGGAAAAGGTCTATGCTTTGTAGACTTGTGAAAATGGTGATAAAAATAGATGATCCCTTGGGAGTATGTACACGGTATGTATGAGTCTCCTGTAGAGAGGAACAAAGACAATCCCAGTATGCCATCAAATATATACACATTAAAAAACTTTATTAAAGAAATAAACTGGACCAATATGACATATAAAACATGATCATGCTCTATACAGTAAGTCAGACTAAGACCCCATTCCCACAGATTTTAGATCGATCTATCCCCTTGGGGAGTCTCACTAGATTACTGTCAGCTTAGCCGGCTTATTTGCCTTCCCCACCTAGTAAAAGCTGTAAGGGGGTAATTAACTTCCGTGCGTGGTCAGCTGACAGCAATTTAGCTTGAACCCCCAGGGAGTTAGGTCGATCTAGTTGGATCGATTTAAATCTCTGGGAATGCGCTCTATGGTACACAATATTTTCCTGAAAGATAAGTGTATATCTCGATCACACTGAATAGAGTAGCTCTGATAATGGTGCATAATATTTTCCAGAAAGATTAAGTTTAAATCAAAACATGTTATAAATCAAATTCTTGAACTTTCATTTAGAAACTAACCAACTTGATGTATACATATCATATGTCATTACTCAGTGTAAATGTTGGGAAAGGTTTTCTTTTCAACTGGTCTCAGTCTCGTCAAGTGGGTTTCTTTTCCCAATCTAAATTTTTAAAGGTCTTCTTCAAGTCTTCAAACCGTAAAAAAAGCTCCACAATCTACATTTTTTAAAAAATATTTTTTCAATTTTTTTTTCTGGGGCTCAGTGTGGCATCACAACACCAAATAAAAGTACCAACACATTAATCACATCCTTTAATTTCCATCACGATGGTATCTCTCTTTGTACAGGGACTACAGCTATCACACTCACTAGGTCTCTCTTGGCCAAGGGAATACAGCTTTGCTCTCTCTACTCACACACATGCTATCAGCTTACACAATACAGGAACTGGCAAGCTTCTCAATGATTACCCACTTGAGATGCCTGGGTTTGGGTTACCAATAAAGAGAGATTTATTCGTTTTTTGTGTGTGCATTTTTTTTTTCCATTAAGAAAATGGATCAATCATCTTTAGTTTGCTGTCTGCAATAATAATTCACTGTCTTTTAAACAAAAAGTACACTACAAAGTCTGATGGCATGACCCTATGTTTGGCTTTGTTTGCATTTTCATATTTTCTCGAAAGTAAGATTGACTTCCTCGTGTGTGGGTGTACAATGCAAATCAATCAACGCAGGTTAGGTCAATAAATGCACTTTCAAGAATGAGACATTTTTCAAGGCACATCAGCCTTTATCAATTGTCTACATGAGAAATGAATTAAGGTTGAATTGGCTGCCAGAAATCCAAAATGTTGACCCCAAAATCAAGACTGTTCGATTGGGATGAAGGCCATATCACAGCATTGTGATGAGAGAGCAAATTCAACATTTGTCAACAAGCCAGTGTTAATGCATTTCTCTTTTTGGCCAGTGCTCTGGTTCAGTCTTATTCCTTCATTTGGCTCTGGCATAATCAATTTAAGTCAAATGATGCTCATTTTCGAACTAGAGGATCAGAGAGGCGATACCGCCTCCGAATATTGT